TTTTAAATATTTTTAAAAGGGGTCTCTCTGTTGACCAAGGCTGCATTTATTTGATTAAATGTACTGTGAAAGGACTACCAAGATTGTGAAATATTATTACAATTTATAGTAACTCTTTCTGTTTAAAATGTCATTTTAATGGCGAATATTCATGAGCTAAGCCAAGTCTTTATTTAAAGGGAAATTCTGTCATCATTTAATTCAGTTAAAATTGAAAAGACGTCATCAAAGACGTACTTTCTGTCTTCACAATGGAAGTCAATGGGGACCAAAACTGTTTAGTTACCAACATTTTTATGTTCCACAGAAGAAAGAAAGTCATATGGGTTTGAAAACATGAGGATGAGTAAATAATGACAGAATGTTCTTTTTTGGTTGAATTATCCCTTTAAAAGCTTTGAAGTTTTTTTGGTGCCCAGTAACAAGTGTTCAGCCAAAATTCACGGATTGACTCCTGTCACGAGTTACTTCAGAGAGCGAATCCAAATCTTATGGTGAACAGATGGGCTCCAGTATCAGAGCGGGGGCTGTGATTACTCTGTGTTCTCCTAAACATGTCTTGTGCGCCTCTCTGGATGTTGAAAGTGACCTGGGTAACAGTCTGCGTGATTATTCACAACACCAGCCAGGGCAGATGGCAGAGTGCTTGTTTACCAAATGTAATTTCTCTCAGCGTTGTGCTAAGTGTAGTGCAAGACTCAGGTGATCTGTGAGATGAAAACAAACCTAATTGCTGCTTAGCCCACATCTGACCCTGCGTGCTGTCAGATGTAGTTACGTTGGACAAATGCAAATGTGTTTGTGTGTATGTCAACAGTGAGATCTGCATGAGAGAAAGACGTATCCATCGGCAGGTGCCGAGTGTGTTAACCTTCTTTTCTTCTTTCATTGCCCATTTGTAATTATGGAAGCTTGTTTCCGCCATGTATAGAATAATAAAAAAAAGGTAATTGCGACTTTTATTTCACAATTCTTACTTTTTTTCCTCAGAATTGCAAGTTTAAATCTCGCCATTTGAACTTTAAAACTTGCCTTTAACTGCTTTATATCAAGTTTATATTTCACAATTGTGAATAATGAAGTCAGAAATGCAAGTTTGACTTTTTATCTCAAAATTCAGACTTTAGAACTTGCAGTTGCAAGTTTATATCTCACAATTGTGAGAAATATAGTCAGAATTGCTAGTTATAAAAGTCAGACTAACTCACAATAATTTTTTTATTTTATTTTGCAGAATGTGTGATTGCAAGATATAAAGTGCTGAGTAAAAACGGTCCAAATTGTGAATTAAATAAAAAACGCTCTTACCTTATTTATTTTTTATTCGGTGGTGGAAACAAATTTCCATAGTAAGCAAATTTTGCTTGCTTGAAAATTCTCTTTCATCAGATTTTGTAAAAGTCAGTTGGCAAACGTTTACTTTGACCGTTATCTGATGGTCCTGTGTTCATTGACATCTTACGAGGGTCAGTGTGACAGGACCATGAGTGTGCTGACCTTAAGTGTGAGCAAAGAATGACACATAACGCCAGGATAACCTGAAGATGCACAGGTTGAGTTGACTAAATTTCCAGAGCTCTCCGGTTTTTGGTTCTATGCTAAAAGAAAGTCACGTCAAAATGACATTTTATACAGGCTGTTGCGGTAGTGAAGCAGACCACAGCATATTTTTTTATAATCCTTTCTTTATGTCCATATTTGTAACCTATAATGATAAAGTAACTTTTATATGTTTCAGCTCTTAAAGCTCTGGGCTCATGAGTCATACTGCATCTCTTTACTTAATTTCAAACATCAGTGGTTTACACTGCTCTTGTGGTCAGCTTTTATTTTGACATTTGGTGCATTCAAAGACTGTTTCTTTTAGAACACAGTTTTTATTATGAATTGTTTGAGTCCATTTTGTTTAGATGGTGTTTTCATTAGCTACACCAGTAACAATTCTCAAAAAAGGTTTCATTTGTTAACATTAGTTAGCAAATGCTGTAAAATATATTCTCATTGTAAATTCATATTAGTTAAATGCATTAAAGGGATAGTTCACCCAAAGATTTTAATTCTGTCATCATTTACTCACCCTCAAGATGTTCCAAACCTGTATGAATTAATTTCTTCTGCTGAACGCAAAAGAAGATATTTTGAAGAATGTCAGTAGCAAAAGAGTTGAGGTGCCCCATTGACTTCCATAGTATGTTTTACATGAAACCCTGGACCTGTTTGGTTCCCGACATTCTTCAGAATATCTTCTTTTGTGTTCAGCAGAAGATAGAAATTCCTTCAGGTTTTGAACATCTTGGGGGTGAGTAAATGATGACAGAATTTACATTTTTGGGTACTATCCCTTTAACTAATGTTAACAAATGAGACATTATTAGTGTTACTGGTGAATAATACAGAATCAAAAATTCACTTTTCACAATCTATTTTAAAGTCAAGGCAAGTATAAATTAAAATGCAAGTTTATATTCTCCTTTTAAAATTTTTAATCTGGTTTGCGCTGATTATATTATGTTGCTAAGGTACCATAATTTCTATTTTTCCAGGTATGCCATGGCCTTGTATAATCAACATGTCTGTCCTGTGGACAACTGGTAAGAAGTCTTCTTTTTAAACTAAATATCATTGTGTCCACGTTTCAAAAGTTATTTGTTTGTTTTTTTAATTGTAAGGTTACATTATGCTATATGGTATTTTAATATTTTTATTTAATTCAATATATGTAATTTAATGATTAAATATTTTAAACTGTACATTAATGCACTTAAAATAGAAAAAATGAAATAGATCAAAAACATGTAGTAAGCATTTACACAAGTATTTTTATTTCTATATGTTTATTAATATATTGGTTACTGAAATATTTTTGAAAGAAAGGGGCGTATTTGAGCTCTAAGGATATTAACCATTTATCCAATGCTGAACTAACACCGTTTTAAAATGCACACATCAGAGAGAGACCTCCTGGCTTTGTGTCTATACACTTCTTCTGCGTCATCTGCACTAATGAGTAATGTATTCGATAAGAGATGTTGAGCGAGTGTCCAAATCATTTCTTATTAACTTAATATGGCTCAGGGACATGTCAGCCAATGAAGAATTGCAGGTTAACTTGTGCTTTTACTCTTTTAGTCAAACATTAGCATACCTGAGCATAGCAGTGTTTAGGTAACTTAAATGTTAGCGCTGCTGTTGGGCTTACACTGTACCTTAATTATTTAAAATGGTAAAAATGGCATCTGGGTCCATGAGCAGAAGCAGTCGGAGAGGATTACTCATTACTATGACTTGTGAATAAAAGGAATTAATGAATAAAACCAACTGTCTAAGGATATCAATGAAAAATGTATCTAAAAAAATCTAATTAAGCTGAGCTAACAAGATCAAATTCGGTCTGATTAATGAAATTCAGCCGAAAGGCCGCTTTAACCTTTTTAGGTGCTTTGCATTCCTGGATCATTTTTACAGTCTGGAAACAACAGTGGTCTTTCAGTTTTTTTCCTCCTGGTGGGAGGAGCATTAGTCCTGTAGCGAAGGATGTGTTTGCTTTAGTAATGAAGTGTAGCCACATTATGTTTGCCTTGAGTTCTGCACGGTGTAGTATGAATCGAAGTTATGGCGGCTGTCAAAACACGTTTATACTGGAAGTGAGTTGTAAATCTCATGTAATCACATCATCCAGTGTACAGTAGGAATGCAGCGCTGTGTAACTCGTTCAAACTCACAGACAGATGCAGCTTTCCTAATACTCGGGTCTGTCTAGTATGATTGACTATTATTTGCAGCAAGCGAGCAAGATCTTAAAGTAGACTCCCACTAAGGGACTCAGTTATAGGAGTTACAGTATAACCGAGTCGGGACTCGGTTATACTGTAACTCCATAATGTATATGTTTTTGTATTTATATGTGGGGGTCTGTGTATTTGTTTGCCTGCAGGATGTACAACCAGTCATGTGAGGTGGATTTGCCAATGCAGAGGGGACAAACCTTATGCTGTACTCTGGACAACGTTCCTCTCATAAGGTCTGTATGAAGTATAACAGTAAGAAAAACACTAACAATGGGTAACAGGGATGTAGATTTAGCCTTTATTTAGATTAGTGACATCATATCTTTTGAAGTTGTATAGAGAGCCTAAGTCCCGCCCCTCCGCTTCCGGCTCATGGGACCTTATTTCGGAAAAAAATATGTGTCGTAGTCAATGGCGAGAGACAACTTATCTTTTTATTCCGTCTGAACTGTGCCCTCAATTACACAGATGTTTGTCAATTTAAAAGATAATTCTGAAAGTCAAAAACGTCGCGGTTTGTCATAAAACAGAAGAGTAACATTTAGTTTTATGTGGAAATCGCTCAATGAACTACATCTCCCGGGAAGCGAAACAGTGAGTAAGACCCGTTGCTCGTGTGTGTGCAGTCTGGTACAAAACACTCATGACGGCGTAACGTTATGATTATAATGTAAGACTGTAGAAACAATGAATGCCTCAGTAAAGTTAGCTTTATTCATTGAGAGAAAATGTGCGCCTCTGGGGTTTGTAGTCTTTGTAATTACGTATTTTCACAGTCTTATACCTCAACGGTTTTATATCAAACTGCGACTTTCTTTACTTTAAAATGCATATTTGAAATTGACAAACATCATATGTGTAATCCAGGGCTCAATTCAAATGAGATCAAAATATTTGTTGTCTCTCGCCATTGACTACCATACAATATTTTTCCGAAATAAGGTCCCATGGTGGTCGGCAGGAAGGGGCGGGACTTAGGCTCTCTATTGTATTTTTTATGTTTAAACCTTTTTCATGCAATAACAGAATCGCTTGAGTTTTACAAATGGAGGAAACACTACAGTTTGTGGAACATTGAGAAAATGGTTATGATGGAGATTATTTACATGTCATGCTGTAGAAAGGGTCCAAATGATGTAACTTCTTCAGGGTTACAATGTGCACAATATATGGAACGCCCACTAATCATTAACATTATTTTTTTGGTTGAGAACGTCAAGAATTCTACAAAATTTTGTTACAAACCAACGTATTGTTTCCTTCCTTGTCGCGGCTTGCGAGCCGACCGTGACATAGGTTCGAACAGGAAGTGAGACTAGAATTGCTGACGACTCGCTTCGGCAGTTCAGAATTGATTCTTTCTTTGAGGAGACCATAACTGTATTTGTCTAGGCTTTGATCTTCAAAACTTTTAGTTTAGTTTTAGCATAAACAGCTATATTACACAATGCAAAATAGCATAATTGGGCGCTTTAAAATAAGTTATTTTAATATTTTATTTCAGTTTACATGAATGAATGGTTTAGTTTTAGTTAATAATAGATATAAATAAGGGTGCTTTCACACTAGCCCTATTGGTACGCACCCAGGTGGGTTCATTTGGATGTGAACACTGTTTTCTGAACGCTCATACCTGAGTTAGCCTAAAAAGGGGGACTGGGGTACAGTTAATGTGAACTCCGGTACAGTTCACTGCTGATATGAACACAATCGTGATTGATGATGTAATATTTGATAAAAATAGTGCTTGTTTGTGTTCTCACTCACTTTCCTGACAAGCGTGATGGACACAAGCAGTGAGAATGTATTATTTTTGCTCGCCTTCAACACAAGTGGACTAAAAAAAATTAAAATGTGAGGTGAGCAACTCTAAACATTTTGCCACCTCCTCCTGCATTGTTGTTACTAGGCAACAGGGGTAAACAGATGCTGCTTTGATGATGCGAACGCGCTGCTGCTCGGACCCAAATAATAAAAACCCAATGCAGTGGGGGCAGGGGGAGCAGACAAACTCAGGTTCGGACCAGAGAATTGATCCAAGTGTGAAAGAAGCACCCTAATAATTCTATATTCCTATCCTATAATTCCTTATTCCTGGAAAGTGCCCCTTCTCAGCCTCCCTCCCTACCTGACGCAGTGCTCTGTGTCAGCACATTCTTCATTCAACAACCCCTTCCTCTCCTCTGCACACATCTCTTGTTTTTCTCTGGTGTGTCATTTCTATTTTCCTCCATCTTAAGACAGATGGGGTCAGGGAGAAACGGGAATCTAGAAACACTGTTACTGTATGTGTGACCTACTCTGTAGCTTTAACAAGCAGTTTCAGTTAAAGGGATATTTCATCCAAAAATGAAAATTCTGTCACCATTTACTCACACCCAAATTGTTCCAAACCATTATGCATTTCTTTCTTCTGCTGAACACAAAGGAAGATATTTTGAAGAGTGTTTGAAACCAAACACTTGTGGGCCACCATTGACTTCCACAGTATTTGTTTTCCATACTATGGAAGGAAATGGTGCCCCACAACTGTTTGGTTCCTGACATTCTTCAAAATATCTTCTTCAGCTGCTTTCTTCTGTTTAGCAGAAGAAATAAATTCAACTTGAGGGTGAGTAAATCGTGACAGAATTTTCATTCTTGGGTGAATGAATTTCTATCTCTTTAAAAGATATTTTTCTTCCTGAGAGAAAAACTCTTCAAGAACTGCCACTTGTCCACCACACAAAGGAATTTCCCAAATTACTGAGGAAAAAAACAAAACCATACTGACAGAAATGTCAAGAACATTGAGATGGTTTAGCCTCATTTACTTGACTTTTCTAGGAATTTTCTCATCAAAGGGAAATCTGACAATGCATATATTGTGGATTCTGGAATAACTTGTGGGATCTTTGACCCGAGCTGTTCAATAGACCGTTTGTCTCCGTTGCCTTCAGAGCTGTGTGGTTTATGGAGTTGGAGAACTTGAGTTATATGCGAAATGTCTTTGGGTGTGTCTATGATCTGCATTTCCACTACCAGCAGTGTGAGTGTCTGTGTTTGCATGTGGGTTTATTTTGACTGCTACCCAGCATAGTCTGCGGTTCTTAGCCTAAAGGTATCTGAAGTGGGTGAACGGTCAAATCCACACACACACTAACAAAACCTTTGAACAGCATACTCCTTTTTTAGCTTATCATTATAGAGCTTAACACCTCAGTGATGTATTTATAGAAAGCATTGCTATATGTAATCCAGTCGAGGCTCATTTGGCAGAAAATTGGTTTAGGGTAGCTGAGTTTGCTTCAGGGAATTTGCAGAAATTAAGGGCCATATATACTAAACAGGGAAAATTAGCATGAGAGCGCAATCCCATAAAAGTGCAGATGGGAGTGGAAAGTTCTGGAAAGAAAGAAAGTAGAAAGACGCAGCCGGATCATTACCATAATGACCAACGCAATCTACCACATTGCGTCTAGTTTTTAAGACATGCTTTTTGGGGTGTTTATATAATGGCGCAAATGCCAGTAAATTGACTAGTGCAAACCGATTTTTGTGATTTTGTCAAGTGAGGCATGTTCCTGGATCAACATATTTTGAAAATGTAGTCTTAACCCTATCCCTACACCTAAACCTAATTGTACCCATAAGTTATATCTTAAACTGAATCTTAAAGGTGAATAACACTGATATAGAAGCACCAAACCATGTCTCTAAGCCTAAATCTGATATAAACTGTATTTAAATTGTCCGTCAAATCTGATTGGTTTATTTGAATGTTGTTCCAGGATAAAATTAAAAAAAGTTTATCCAGTGACATGTTGCACAGGGACAGTAAAATCACATTCACCAGTGCAAACCTTAGTAAATCCCCTTGCATGATTCATTTAAATACTCTCCTCCCATAAATTGTGCATCTGAAAGGGAAACTCCTACAAATGCATATGCAATAAGGACAGCCGCAAAAATAACTGTCTCCACAGCTTTCAGTTTTAACTTCTCCCTGCATGTCTTTTGTAATTCCTGACAGTAGTCAAGTGTGAAGATTCTTCAATCTACCTACAGAAGAAAGAAAGTCGTACGGGTTTAGAAAGGCATAAGGGTGATTATTATTACATTTGAAGTATCTCTTTAAGAGAGTGAATCCAATGAGATGTTGGAAAGTTAGCCAGCCATTTTCAGAACTTTTTGCTTGACTTTAAATTGAAGTTTGTTTACTCCATACTGTATATTTACAGCTGCATCTTATTTTGAAAGCTTCATACCATGGTGACATGTTATATAAAGCTGAACTGGTCTTCAGGAAAGATTACCTATGCATTAAGGAGGAAGATTTCCTTTCATGGTGAGGCGCTTGCACAGTCTTTCATCAGTGGAGAGAGGCCCTATCTTTGCTTATCTTTTGTCATTTCCCATACAGTGTGACAGCTGTGGGAGAATAGCCGAGGGTCCTCAAGCCCTTTTCTAGTTCCATCCCTCTTTTCCCCAATAATCTACAGCTGCCAGTGTGCTCCCAAGAGCAAGAGTGTCCTATTTTAGTCAACTGCCAATGGGAATTCATCCCTCAGGACCCTTTGCTTGGGAATGAGCATGTATGTATGTGTGTTCATTCATGTGGTGAGAACCCTGGGCATCTAACCTCTGTTCTGATGTTCTGATCTGCAGTAAATGCGGCACACTTCCTCCAGAGAGCTGCTTCTTCAGTCTCATCTGCAGCACTGGATCCTTTATGGGTGAGTTTACAATGTGCATCTGCCACTTACACTACTGTTCAAAAGTTTAGTGTGAAATAGATTTTAAATTCAAAATTTGAAAAACGTCAAAACAGTGAAAATACTTTTGCTGCTTAATATTTTTGTGGAAACCGTTGTGCATTTTTATCTGGAATCTTTGATCAATAAAAAGTCAAAGAACAGCATTTGTTTGAAATAGAAATCTTTGGTAACATTGCTAATATCTTTATTGACAATTTGCGCATTAAAGTATTAATTTCTTTAAAAAAAAACTTACTGACCCCAAACTTTTAAACATTAATGTACAATCTTTTAATTTGTGTTTGCATTTAATTTCAAATAATGGCTGTGAAAAATCCTTGGGGGCCAATGACTTACGCATTACGCATGAATCATTCCTATTTTGCACCCGTGCAAAGTGGGCTTTTCCCTCCACAGTAAACTAGGAAATGAACTTGTGTTCCCTGGGCGGGTCGGCGCAAAAAGGAGGCGTGTTTCGGTGCAAACACTCCCTAGTGCTATTTTGCAGTTCCAGAAAACACTGACCAGGAAAAACCTAGTCTGAAGTCAGTGGCGCGTTGCGCGTTGTAATGCTATTTTAAGCATGCATGCTTGGCCATTATGTAGCAGGTGCACAATGTGTATACACTTTGATTCTCTTATCATTGCAGCAGTTTTTATTTTTCCAAATCATACATTATAACAAGGCAACATATTAACACATGAGGGAAATCGTTGTGGTGTCCATGAAGATGTGGTGTCCAAAAAAAATATAGGTCTAAATCGATCTTACACATTTACCCAAATTTTTCAGGCTAATTGTAGTAATGACGGATCAGACCTGTTTGCCCAATAGTGGCAAGACACATATGTACAGTATATAATGTTTAACTGATGCTGATTTGTGGGGGTTTCTCCCATCCCCATACAACGTCACTTCTGTCTTTCACTGCCCTGACAAGAACGTCGGTCTCCTCGGCTGTGAACCGCTCCTTGCGCGCGCCTGGTAAATCCGCCATAATAGTAACAATTCGCCATGCAACACGCGCACCTGCTCTTAAAGGGTATGTTGGATGACGCTCTGATTGGATTATTTAACGTTACGCCCAAACCACATCTATAAATAATGAATCGATTTCAGACCAACCCCCTTTTAAACTTGCGTCGGACGCAAAAGTCATTTTTCCCGCCGGTAAAATAGCAACACTGCCCAAGACCCGCCCACAAAGTTACTTGCACTTTGCACTTGCATTTCAGATTGTTAAAATAGGGCCCTTGGTGTCAAAATTTAAAAAAAAGTTTTAAACACTCTCACAATCTGCAAATAGAAAGCGCCACCCTAAAACTGTCTGTGTCGGGCTGGTTGGGATGCTCAAACATAGAGAGCAGGAAAATCAACCTGCAGATGGGTTACTTACTGTATTGTTTTCTTTGCATTAAAGCTAGGATAGTTGAAAGTTAAAATTTGCTCACTTAATTACTCACTTCACTTTAGCATCAACTTCATTTTGATTTTGGAATTTCAAATCAATCTGTAGTTCACTCCCCAGTAAATGATTCCCATCTGTAGCACAATGATTCACTGTCTGGGTGCAATCAGCTCAGGAAACCACAGGCTTAGCGTTTGCGTATGTGGAATATCACTGGCACTGGTTGACGCACTATACAAGGCCAACTATCTTTAACAATACGGATGTGTTTATGTTCACTGATGTCAGATTTTTAAGGGGAAGACATTATCATCTAAAAGCAGACGCTGCTCATACACTGCTCATTCTCTAAACTTGCCCAGAAAAGCTTTGAGTGTCATTTTGATATTTCACAACTCAAAAAAGCTGGGTGGGTGGATATGTGTTCAAGCATTTATAAAACTGAACGGTCAATGCAGTCACCGCACATTACCAAACATTGTCATCAGACACCAAGTGAGTTGCTGAGGATGAATCATCTTCAGAAATAATCTGAATTGAATTTGAATCACATCACAGCAAAAAAAATAATGACCAGAGGGCTATTTCAAAGTAGATAAACAAGAACAGAAACCCCCCTTAAAATACAAATGTTAATAGCTAACATTTTGATATTTGAGCTGTATCGAATTACAAAACATCTTGTTTTTTAAAAGAACTGCTGAGTCATACTCGTATCCATAAGTCTTGCTGGTGGTGCTCCCCGAACATAAATTCAGATGTATCGTGAACAATGCCGTACTCCTTGCAGATACTGTCGGTTACAGCCGAGTGCAAGCTACACAGCAGGTCTGTGAAAAGAAAGAATCATTGGTTGAGCGTGACCTCTGACCTGAGCGTCTGGGGCTGGTGGCGGTGTCCATGCTGAGAGCTGAAGGGCTGTATTGTTGTGTTCAATCCTCCACCCTGTGTAACTATAAGTGAGAGTGTTCTCCTGCTGGGAAACTCGGTCTCTGCCTGTTTGCACAAGGACGTTTTCGTTGTTCGTCCAACAATACAAGAAAGTTGCGTTTTGAATATTTTTTTGGAAGTGCGTCTTACATAACACGACTATCAAACAAAACCACCTCGTATAGTACGTGATTTGTTGCATCACTGTTCCAGGACAATAGGACCTTAATGCAGTTGTTTATTCTAAAACGTTTATAAAACACAATGCACACCTGCCAAAAAAATGGAAAGTTCAAGGGTGACGATCAGTTCCCCAGGGCTGCATTGTTTTCTCGTGGCTTATATAATACTCAGTGTTCCCGAATCTGAGCTCTTTTTGAAGTCAGCATGGCACTAGAGGAAACATCTCTCAGCAGTGTAGCGCTGTAACAGAAGGGAAACAGGGTGGAGAGAGTTCACAGCAGGAACTGACCGAAGCTAGTTTAGGCTCCTGGGGACCTTGTGACAGGACAGTTGTTTACTTTTATCTCCTGTTTTTTTGTTCTCTTGAGGGAATGCTACACCAAAGTGAAAACCCGTGATCCATAAATACACAGGTGTTGTCTCGCTAATGTGTTTGGGCTGCGGTATTTCCGCCACATTTCACCCCTTACAAACTGGAACCTTCTCTGTGAATACACAGAAATTAGGGGGATTGCGTGACTGAGATACTGTATGTGAGTCCTCATACAAAAGTCCTCACAAGCAGTGCTTTTCACATCTCACTGCACATCAAGAGGTTTTCCATGGAGTCTTGGCGAACGAGTCTCTTTTAAATCAGCATTGTTATTTTAAACTAAAACTATTAACAATCGTTGTTGTTAAAGAAGTAGTTCACTTTTGAAAAAACTTTTGCTGATAATTTACTCACCCCCATGTCATCCAAGATGTCCATGTCATTCTTTCTTCCGTCGAAAAGAAATTAAGGTTTTTGATGAAAACATTCCAGCATTTTTCTTCATATAATGGACTTTAATGGGAACCAAACGGTTCAAGGTCCAAATGAGAGTTTCAGTCCAAACTGTTCAAAGGGCTTTAAACGATTCCAGACGATGAATAAGGGTCTTATCAAGCGAAACGATCGCTCATTTAATAAATAAATACAAAAGTTTAAGTTTTATAAGCTCAAATGGTCGCCTTGCTCTTTTATGTGACGGACGTTTGTGAATTGTGATTCTTCTGTTCGAACTCGTTCATCAAAATGAACGAATCTTTTTCTGATTCAATTGGTTTATTCAACGAACGAAACGAACCAATTGACTCAGAAAAAGATTCGTTCATTTTGATGAATGAGTTCGAACAGGAGAGTCACGAACGTGCATCGCAGTACAGAGCAAAGCGAGCATTTGAGCTTATAAAACTTAAACTTTGTTATTTATTTATTAAATGAGCGATCGTTTCGCTAGATAAGACCCTCATTCATCATCTGGAATCGTTTAAAGCCCTCTGTAGTAGGGGAAAATAGTTGAAAAGCTTATGTAAATGAAAACGAAATACTAATGTACTAAAGAATATTTTTTTTTTCGTTCACATTTTTAGGGTAAACATTGCCGTTAGAGTTTGATTGGGGTTGAACATAGCTTTGTTTGTCTGTTAAGTGTGGTGGTAGTTACACAGCACAAAGAATAATTGCACATGTCCGATGGACACCATGTGTTCCCAGTCTTGTTTTCTGCATTCTGAGGCCAAGAGCCAGGAAACCGTGCTTACAAACACACCTACACACAAATATATACACAGATAGGCAGTTGGAAAGACCTTTTTGTGACCATTTGTGGGCTTTCGTTACGCCCTGTGTTTAGGGAATCTAGGTTTGTCCCAAACACAAGAAGTTAAAGTCAGCCGTAAGCAGGTATTTTTAGCTGATTGCAGATTGCTGCATATGCTGAAGTGCCATTGTTTCCTGTGCCCGTATCAACTGAGGGCCCATTCATGAGCTAAACTGCAACAGTAGATGCTTGGGAAGGAAGAATGCAACTGACAGTGTAGTCTAATGCAGTTAACAGCTATTATGGTCCACATTTGCCGTTTCAGCTGGATTTTATTAAACCGAGTTAATTTCCTTCATCTGCAGACATGTCGTTTGTTTTTCCATGCTTGTAACTACTCCCACAACATGCTGTATAGAACATCTTAAATTAGTTGCTACCACAAAAGTTACATAAAGATGTCAAATTTGTTTCTTGCTGAAAAGACCATCATGGATGGTAACACAGCATGGTCCTCCAGTGGGCTCTTGATCTAGCTTAACCAGCAAGACCATGCTGGTTAACCTGAATAAGCAGCTACTGGTCAGCAACATGGCTACAGTGGTCCGAAAGCAAGACCAGCACTTGAAAATCCATGCTGGCCTTTTCTTCAGTGTTTCTTTAGGTAAATGTGTCACGATAGCCGTAATGTTGCCTCAGAAGTACATCCAGGAATATTCTCGTGGGTGGATTGGGCTGAGAAAGGAGGGGTGGTTTATTGTCTGTCCTCTCCCCCAACACTGCCACTCTTAACAGGCCACATCTGCCCCAGTCTGTTTTCATTAAGCATTAACCCAGCAGTAAAACAGTTGAGCAGATTGCTGCAGCTTGATTTACGTTAGAGATCTCACCATGAAGTCCTTCTTTTATTCGCTCGCTTGCTTCTCATCTTTCCACATTGCCTGCCTCATTAGACTTTCCAGAAAAAACAATGGATTTTCTTGGCTAAAAAACAACACTGAACTGGTTGTTTTGTCAAAGTGAGTCTGACTAGTTTGAAGATGAGTGAAGAGACTATCTGCTTCTGTCTTTTTTAAGTCACACTAAAATGTCATCAAGACCTACAGTATTTATACAAACATCTGATAAAACAACATAAAAAGAGCAAATTAACTCGTTTCAGAACTTCAAATAATCGCTAAGTTTGGGGACAAGTACAATTTTTTGTTGAAGAAGTTAATAGTTTTATTGAGCAAGGACACATTCAATTGGTAATATAAGTGACAGTTTATAATGTTACAAAAGATTGCTATTTCAAAAAAATGCTGTTCTTTTAAACTTCCTGTTCATCAAAGAAACACTATATCACAGTTTTGACAAAATATTAAGCACCAGAACTGTTTTCACCATTGAAAAATAATAAGAAATGTTTCTTGAGCACCACGATTAGCATATTAGAATGATTTCTGAAGGATCTTGTGTAATGGCTGCTCAAAATTTAGCTTTGCTTCACAGGAATAAATTCGATTTTAAAATGTATATTTAAATATAAAACCATAATTTTAATTTATAATATTTCACAATATTATTTTACAATATTTACTGTATTTTTGATCAATTAAATGCAGCCTTTGTGAGCATAAGATACTTCTCAAGCACAAATTTATATAAAAAGAAATATAAGTTTTAGCTATTTCAGCATCACAGTAATCCCATAAGAGGACAAGCGGTTTAAAGTATAGACTAATGGATTTTTTTGTCATTATTTTGCTGTATTTTTTGTCATTATGATAACTTGACTACTTAGCTGTTTTTATGCGTCACTTGAAATGAGCCAACTATTCTCTCTGTGAAAGTGCATCCTGTGTCATAAATATGTGAGGATGCATCATTATGTTGTTGTTTTAATTTTGGTGGCTTATGAAATTAATATTTGATGTGTCACTAAGAGTTCTGGAGAAAAAATAGATTCACCTCATAGATGTCATACCTCAATTGAAGATTTTCAGTGAATGAAAATTTGAAGATGAGGGCAAGTCACAACAGATGTTTTTTTTTTTCTTTTTTAGATCATTTTACATTGCATACATCACTAATATTACTTACATATTACATTTACACTATATAAAATGCTGAAATACCTCATGAAGTTACCTTTTACTCACTAAGGCAATTTTTACGCTCATTTGGCACTTATTGAGACTGGAGTACATGTAGAACTTGAATGAACTTTGGTGTCTGCCAACATAAATATGAACACACATACTTAAGAGATCTTAACTGTAAAAAAAAAAAACAACTGCTATAAATTGGTATAACATGCAACAAGGAACATCTTAGTGACTTGTCCTTTTTATTTTAAGACTACATTGTTAAAGCCTGCTAAGCTTTTGCCATTTGAGTTTATGTATTTTGTTTTTTAAATCATATTCAGTGTCTTTAAATACATTTTTAAATTTCTGCTTGTCAATTGTTGGAAATGCAATATTTTAATGGTGGTATTTCTTTGTAAAATAACAGATTTTTTTCTCTCACTCTGTCTCTTCCAACTCTCAGTGATGGTGATTGTGTTCCTACGCTATGCCCATGTGATAGAGAAGCACCAGAACTGTGTGTTAAATACAGCAAGTCTCTCCACTGGATGGATCTGTGCTGCAGGACTAATTATGGTCGGCAACTTCCAGGTACAGATTACATAAACCGTACTATCTTACTCGTCTGTAACAAACTGCTCCTCAGCAGCCCAGTTTCCTTCAAGGTCTGTTTAAACATGTGACAGCAGAAGAGGTCATTTTTGAAGGTCATAAGAAACATAAATTCAGTCCAGTGTGTGTGTCCAAACCTTGGTGCTTGCTTATGTTTATGTTTGCGAGTTTATCTTTGCTTGCAATTGAGTGCATGTGTATATATTAGACTGTTTTTGACGAAAACCTGTTTCATCCATGAGTGAGTGATACTTTATTCCCGCTCTACCTCGGATCCACCTCCACAGTGTTTAGATGAAAGACAGACTCCATAAACCCTCTCATGTGGAGCCACATGCTCCTTCGAGCCCTGTGAAACAAACATCCTTTACCTTTATTCATGAATCGGTGTGAGCCCTTGGCGACAGGGTCTTTGCAGGTTGATATGTTTGGACGTTTGGCTGAGTGCCCAGACTGCTAACGATGTGGGGAGGTCGGCCAATGGGGGCATCACAGGTTTTTTATGGGTTGGTTGCCATAGAGAAAGAGGGAGAGGAAAACCTTTCTATTGATAACATAAGCACCCAAATTTTAACCATGTACTCCATCAGAAGGTGTGTGTGTGTGTGTGTGCGCAGGAGACAGCACAGGTTCAGACTTGTTTGTCCATCCCTCACTGAAGCAGTCTGTAGTAATGTCTTATAAACTTTCATAGACAGCAGGTGTTATAATTAAAAGAGGCACGAACCTCCGTCATTGCAGCATTATGAACTTAACTCATCTTATCAGCAATTTTGTTATTTACTTAGTTATTTTGGTTCTGCTCCCCTTGCATATTTGAAATGTTTTGAAAATCAAGCAAAGCTACTCCCTTGCATTTCTTCAAGCTTAGTCAGCTAGCTGGCCATGGAAACATTTTTTGTTTGTTACATCCTAAGGACAGAATAAGGATTAGTTTGATTACCCCAAAATTAAAATTGTGTAATCATTTACTCACCCTCATGTCGATCTTACCCCAGAAGATTTTTTTTTCCTGTGTAAGCGAATGACATCAGAAGCCTCGCACATTCATGTATATAAATGGCTGCACCCACTTGTACTTTAAAAAAATAAGTTTAATTTGGACATTTATTTAGATATAAACATTGACCAATGCACATAAATACAGTAGAGCACATCAAATACGATAAATGGAAGCTCAAACTGGCTTGATGTGCAAAAAAAACAACCTCATTGGTTCTTGTGGAAGCTCATACATGCATAACAGCTCAATTTATATGGATTACTTTTACTTCCTTTTATGAACTTTTTGATGCATCAAAGATTTGGTTGTGTGGACAATATATAGAGAAGAGGGACATCTCTCAGAATTGATTAAAAATATCTTCATTTGTGTTTCGAAGATGAGGAAAGTATTATGGGTTTGTGTAACTGATGACTAAAATAGTTTCGGGATGCATTTTTGTTAATCTTGATTTCTAACAACTTGTGTGCTTTTATCTGGGCAAGATGTAGTGAACTGCATCACTAAAACATTGTGCAGTCGTGGTCAAGAATTTCATTTCGGTTTGTTTTTTACCAAACCCTATACAAACCCCCAGAACACTTGGAATATACGACACGTGTCACATGGGATCATTCATGCGGCATTAGAACAACACCAGGGTGAGTAAATGATTACTTAATTTTTTGATTTTAGGGTTTATCAGAAAGGTCATGATATCTGAAAAGTATCTCCAGCCTAAACCCGCCTTTCATGCTGGTCCAACCTAGCCTTTTCAGCAGGGAAGATAACTTTAATGCCTCGCTTTAAGCCATTATAATGATACGAGGACCACCCGTGCTGTGTGCCGCATTGTGTACTGAGCAGAGAGATCCATGTTTGGGTCGCGCACATGTGAGGTCTGCAGTCTATTAGGTCACGTTTGCCAGGCCCCTCCTCACTCTGCTCTGATGTTTTCCTCCATCTGTAGTCTGGAGTTGGTAAAAAAACAAAAAACACACACAGTCTGCTCCTGAAGTCCCTCCCTTCTCCTATGTTTTTGTAAGGAACATGTGTACGGTATGTTCCTGCCCACCGCCTACCACATTGTGCTCCAGTCGGGCCTTCATTTAGATGAGCTAAAATGTTACAGTGATGCTGTTTGCCAAATAAAACTCCATTGACTTCAGAGGAATAAAAGCTATTGCAACTGGATTCTATGGAAATTGTTAATCAAAATGAGAGTTTTGTGGCGTTTAGTCTTCAGTGCCATCTGTATGCTAATGTGCTCCTTAAAGGTGCCATATACAATAATTGAGGTAACAATATACGAAAAATGAGCTACACGCATCAAAAGAATGAGAAGAAATAAGTGCAAAGATGTCATTAAAAAACTGACAAGTTATAGTGCTGCCGAGATATTAACCTGAATTAGCATGCTAAATTACTAGCCCCGGCCCGGCAGGTATCGTAATACCAGTTCCGGCCATGGGAGGCGGTATGCGGACGGGCAACGTTAGCACCAGCCAAACTGCAATACGCGAGTGAGTCGCGCTCGCGCCGGCTTGTGTGTGTACTTGAACCTGATGTCAGTCGTGTGGAAATACAGCCCACTACTACATTTCAGTTCAGGGAAGAGTTCAAAAAATGATTGGTCGACATTATGCATGAGGAATACATTTTGGTAAGTTGTAGCATACTGTATCTTTCAACAGAGTTCATGTTCTTTTTCCAGCTAGTAGAGACGATCGGTTCACGTGCGCTAGGGATCTGTAGTGTAACATGTACAAGCGCCAAAACGGTATTTATTCTTTGAATTGCGTAATATAATTGACAGAATCTGAGAGCTTAACTAACCTGCTTGCTAAGTGTCAATTGCGTGTGTCTCACGGTGAATTCACGGCGCTAGCTTGATCAACATCAGCGAATGCTGTCTGTCAAATTAATTCACTAACAATAAAAGTGTAATATGAACAAAACGAATACCATAAACTTCAAATAATTGCCCAAGCTTTTATTTTCCCATACCGTCGAAATGCACCAGCTTGTTTTTGAGATCTATGAGGCGGTCTTCATCATTTAGTGTTGAGATTCATAGTGTTTAGTTTAGTTCACTCTAGTGTTTAGTTCATTGAGTCTCTGATCTCTAAAAATCTCCAAATGTTCCACGTGAAACTGCGGTCTTCCAACCTTTTACTATCATGTCAAATGATTTGAATAACATGCGCGATGGTAGGAGCACAAGTCATTTTTTGGAGGTATACTCCCCCCATCTGTTATGGCAGTGTTTCCCAAACTTTTTTTCTGGGGACCCACATTTTAAAGTCGATAAATCCTTGTGACCCAATAAACATTAGGCCCATTTAGTTCATATACCACGGAGAGAATTTATGCATTAACAAATTATGTATGACCATTTTTAAGGTCAGTTAAGCTTCCAGTTAACTATTTAAAAGAGATACAGATATTTGACAAAGGACAATTTTTTTTATTAACCTGTTGTTGACAATAAGCGAAATGCAGAGGTGAAATGAGAAAGGAAGAGTTGACAGGGCATCTCATTGTTTTCATATTCTCAGCATTACAGTGTACACAATTTACTATAATAATAATTATAGGCTTAAATTAAAATATCCTGACAGTGAGACTTTGTAACCATGCATGACTCACTACCACTGTATAAAAAAATGCCTAAACAGGCAAAAACCAAAACAAAAAAAAACTATACACACAATTAATTATATAGGCGTATTTCTCTACCCCCTTAATAAATCTATGCAATATAAATGACTATAACATAATAGGCTAATCAAATATTCCACATTTATGCCCAAACCATGGTAAATTATTACATTCATAGGCTATTACATGGTACATGTTTGTAATGGTGGTGGTTAGGGCATTTAGTCTTCTAATTTTGTTAATGTTTCTGCTATTTACCTCATCAGTAGTGTTGGGAATGTTAAGGCTGTTTCATCCGATTTAAAACTAGTTAAAATCATTGAGTGATTTGTAGTTTGTAAGAGAGAGGAGTGTCCGATTGAAACGCTTCTTACTGGATGTCGCAACGCTGTTTAATAATAGTGTCCGGGACCGGGAGTAAACACAACTCCTTTAAGCTTTGCGTTTCGTTATCCACTGGACCGTGCTGCCTAGTTCAAAGTAAACTAGTGAAACGACTGAAACCAGCGCTATTTTGTTCTCTATTTGTTGTTACTGACCGAGAAACCGCTTCAGGTGGACAAATCCGAATCGTTTCAGACCGTTATGCACGCGCGTTTGGCCAATTCATGGAAAGAAAATAATAACCAAACCAACGAATGATTAATATCGCTGGTTCAGTCGACAGAAATACGGGACACACATAAGAACTGCTGAAATATTCGGACTGTAAACTTTTCTCTCAGGTCAGTCGGAGCGCTCATGGTACACACACAGTGCGGATAGTCGCCCAGCTGCACGCGCCACTGCGGCCACGCGCGTATCTAACCAAATTAAAAAGCCGCACCACCAGAAAATAGGAGGCGGGAGGTTGGGGTGCCCTCGGCCGTATGGAGATGATTGGCGGGCCGCACTTCCGCGGGCCGCCAATTGAATAGCCCTGATCTAGATAGTAGCCTATAGAAAACTGAAAAATAGTGCTCGACTTGGCGACCCATACAAAATCTCCCGCGACCCACTTGTGGGTCGGGACCCTGCCTTTGGGAATGACTGTGTTATGGAATATGGAGTAGGATTTGATTTATTATGGTAGATGGCACCTTTAATGATGACTAAATTAAGCAGATAAAAAAGCTGAAATTTCAGCATCATCACTCCAGTCTTCAGTGTCACTTGATCCTTCAAAAATCATTCTGATATGCTGATGTGGTGATTTATGAAACATTTCTTATCATTATCAATGTTGAAAACTAACGTGCTGCTTAATGTTTTTATGGAAACCCTGATACATTTTCCCATAATCCTTTGATAAACTTCAAAAGAACAGCATTTATTTGGAATAGAAATATTTTCTAAC